CCTCATTTACTTAAAACCAAGTGTTAGCCAGGCGCTTACACACATTCAATGTCTCCCCACTTCCGCATACATAGATTGAGACTCGGAGAAGGGGAAGTGACTTGAGAAGTCAGTCACACAGCTCAGAACCCCAGACTGGCCCAGAAGCCCACCTGCAGGGCACATGCCGGCCTCTCACAGCACCCAGCCCCACTGCTAGGGTCACACTCACAGCACCCAGCCCCACTGCAGGGTGGCTTCAAGATGAGGTGAGCACTGGGAGCAGGTCCCTCGCGCTGAAAGCCCTTTCTTGAGAAACTTGAGTGCCCTCTGTGTTTCTCAAAATATTCACCTAGCCCCCAAAAGTTCTGGGTGTTGTGACAAGTGCTGTAGATACAGCAGATTTTTTTAAAAAGGAACAAAATCTCTGCCTTTATACAACTTACATTCGAGAGAACAGAGATAAGCATAAAAAAATAAAGAAATAGCTAAGATGTGTGAGGTAGAAGAGAAGTAGCATAAATGGGCTGGGGAGTGTGGAGAGAGATGGGGTGTGAGAGACCCAGAAAGGCCGGGCAAGTGAGCAGGGACCTGTGGAGACACCCGGAGGGTACCTGCCAGGAAAGACGAGCCTGGAGAGGGGTCCACAGGAGGGCAGGTGCAGCCAGCGAGGAAGCCCAGGGGCTGGTCAGGGTTAGCCCAGGGCCAGACCGTGGGCACTGGAGACCATGAGAGGACCTTGGGCAGAGGGAGGGGCAGCCCTGACTTACCTTCCAGTAGGACCCGTCTGGTATTGGGCGGGGAAAAGGCGTAGAGTCTACAAGGGTGATGGAAGGAACTTTTGGGAGGCTCTGGCCATAGCCCAGATGAGAGGTGGCAGTGTCTGGACAGGGTGGTAGAAGCCGTCCCACTGAGTACATCTGGAGGTAGGCACTGTAGGACGTCTGGGGCTGGAGCTGGGGTGTGAGGAGCTAAGTCAAGAAGGGCTCTAGGAGTTTTGACCCAAGTAACATCATAAAGGATGGAGCCGCCATGGTTGAGAACAGGGAAGGCCACGGAGTACCCCTTACTCTGCAGGCCATACACGGTGGCCTCCATCTTCCCTGCAGAAAGTCCACGCATGGATACAGCGCTTCTGTCGAATGAAGTCGCTCTCTGCCAATTCAACGTACAAAATAGTCATACCCTTTGAAAAGTGTACATCCCTGCTCCATTACAAACACAGAAAAAGTATCTTTTGGCTGAAAAATAACCCACAGTTATTTAACATTTATACGGTGGATTTTCCAAGTGGAATTCACTACACGATATGAAAACAAAACTTGCATGTTGCGTTAGTTCGTTCTTTTGTTGCTATAAGGAAACACCTGGGGCTGGGTAATTTGTAAGAAAAAGTTTAATTGGCTCATGATTCTGCAGGCTGTACGGGAGGCCTGGTGCCAGCATCTACTCCTGGTGAGGCCTCAGAAAACTTCCAATCCTGGCAGAAGGCAAAGGCAAAGCAGGTGTGCCACCTGGCAAGAGTGTGAGCGGGAGTAAGAAAAGGGAGCTGTCCAACGTTACCAAGAGTGTGAGCGGGAGTAAGAAAAGGGAGCTGTCCAACGTTACCAAGAGTGTGAGCGGGAGTAAGAAAAGGGAGCTGTCCAACGTGTTTACGCAACCAGATCTCTTATAAACTCACCGCACGAGGACTCACTCATCGCCAAGAGATGGCGCTGAACGACTCGGGAGGAATCTGCCTCCGTCGGTCAATCACCTCCCACCAGGCCCCACTTCCGACACTGGAGGTCACATTTCAACATGAGATCCAGAGGGGACAAGCAGCCAAACCATACCACATACGGAAGAAAACTGTTTGGCAATTATACAATCTCCTCCCGATACGATTAAGGAATAAAACATCCATTTCTACCCATTGTCATAAATTCTACTTCTAATACATATAAACGTGATAAGGGTTAAAGATGGAGATGTAATTTCCACAAAAGCAAAATGCAGAGTCCTTCGGTAGCTGCGGGAGGGCAGTTCAGAACTAGCCTCTCCTGAATCAGCCACGCACCGCTCCCGGCCAAACTCCAGATCCCTGGCTGTGCCTCAGGGTGCCTCAGTTGGCTCCGCTCTTCTCACCTGGACCACTGCATTAATCCACAAGGCAATCTGCCCAGATTCAGTCTCCTTCCCACTTTCATCAGGACCACAGGGTCCTGCCGAACGTGACTTTCCAAAATGCAAATGCAGTCACGCCTCTTCCCAACTCGTTAGCACCCCAGTCGTTTTTTGTTGCTAGCAAAATAAAGTCCAGACCCCTTAGGTGGAGTACGAGTCCCTTGCTGTCTGGCTCCTGCTTTTCTTTCACCTCACTTGACCTCCTGTCCTCTGGCAAATGCAGGGCTTCAACAAACTCTGTGCTTCCTAAACACAACTGATCAGCTCACGTGAGCCTCTGTGCCCTTCAATGTGACTCTGCCGCGCGTGGCATTTGCCTCCCCTGTTCTTCGTTAAGCCCTTCCTCATCCTTCAAGTCCCATCTCATAAGATAACGGCTCTCATGAAGCCTTTCAGGACTTAGCCCCGCAGAGTCAGGTGCTCCCTCACCCACCCCGCAGTAGCACTTCACAGGCCTCGGTCACACGCATCATGCATGGTCATTATCTGTGTCTTTGTCCCATGTCAAAGCTCTACTTCTCTCAGGCTCCACACAAACACGCCTGACCGCCATTCAAGTAATATTTGCTTAAAGATAAATGGATGAAATGAAATCGAACCCCGGGACACCCATTCAGTGAAACATCCATGCTTCCTGAGCCCTCAGCTAGGGTGCTGATTCTGAAATTTGACAGTAAGACAATAGGTTGACATAAAAGCTATGCTTGAAACAGCTAAGAAACACGGGTTGGGGAGTTGCTTCAGCACGGCGTTCACCTGCTCAGCTGCACCTGGGAAGGTGGGTTTGTCAGTGAAGGAGCCCGCATTAGTTTCACTGATTGCATTAGCAAGTATCTTTGGTTATACATGCAGGTTTCCCGAGAAAAATATCTACAGACAGCTGAGCCTCTTTTCCGAAATGCAAAAGTGCTCATAGTCATCATGATTTCAAACATTTCAAAGAATCGTTTATTAACTCAGTCATGTATTCATTCTGGCCTTCAAAAAGCTTGTCTTGTGAGCCACCTGTCAAGCCCTTACTAAGTTTCACGTACACTAGTGAAATCAGAGTTGCCCCATGCCAGTTACGCCTGGCATGTCAGGTGCCAGCACAGGGGACAGGTCACATCCATGCCCATTACCTTGCCACGTGCCCCTACAAGGACATGCTCTCACAGTGGTTAAGGTCCTGTCTGACCAACCAGGCTACGGTTAATCAAATGAAGTTTCAGCACAGTTGAAACACAGCTTAACTAAAATTCAAATCGCTGTTGCCAAAATGACAATCAACTCTACTCAGCTTTCATCACGTGTTTTAGTACTTGTCTCAGTCCACTCCTGCCAGTATAACAAAATATCTAAGACTGGGTAATTTATAAAGAACAGAAATGTATTTCTCACAGTTCCACGAGCTGAAAGTCCGAGGTGAAGACGTGGGTACATTCTGCATCCGGTGAGCGTCGAGTCTCTGCTTCCAAGACCAGACCTTGTTGCTGCTCACTCCAGAGGGCAGGAAGGCCGTGTCCTCACGAGGTGGGAGGGAAAGAAGGGCAAAAGGCAGCCGAAGTGGTTTTCTCCAGCCCGCTCCTAAGAACACTGATCCCTCCCGAAGGCCGCACCCCTTAACACAGCTGCATCAGGGATTAAGTTCCGCCAAGAATTTTGGAGGAGACTCGAGCACTAAAACCGGAGCAGCCCTTTTAACACACTGCTGTGTCCAGTCCTCACTAAGTTCCTGCCATGTAAAGGCTGTGGATTGTCTGCCCTTTATCCTCTTTCATTTTTATCCACCATGATGTTGCTTCTTTTATCTCCTTAGCGGGAACTTTTAAAGTGATATTGCAAATATGACTGGTATAACATCAGAACCGTACGTAGGCTTATTTTTCTTACCTCATTTGCTTTAAACAACTATCTCTGCATGTTGTATGGACACACACACACACACACACGCACACACAGTTTTTGGCTGAACCATTTGAAAAGGAGTTGCATGTATCCTGACTTACTTCTAAACACTTCAGCATGTATCTACTTAGAACAAGGAATGCTTCCATAGAACCTTATTACACTCAGAAAACATGACCTTGACATGGAGGTATTATTCCATATCCAGTCCACGTCCTAATTTTCCAGTGGGCCCTGCACTGCCTTTATTCTCATAGGCCTTTAGCCCCCTTTAACTGAAGGTAACTTCCCCACCTCTTTGCATTCCTCTACACCGACCCTTTGGAAGCCTGGGCCAGCTGTCTGCAGGATATCGCACTGCTCAAGCTTGGTTGCTTTCTCACAATTCGATTCAGACTAACTACTGTTGGCAAAAACACTATGCAAACAATATCCTGTCTTTTCTGCACGTCACTTTAGGAAGAGCACAGAAACTGTTCCATTACTGGTGGTGCACGTGTCATCACTTAGTTAAGGCGATAACCACCAGATATCTCCACATTAAAGGTATTATTTTCTGCTTGCTAATAATAAGTGAGCTGAGGGGAAACACACTAAGACCATGTCAATATCCTGTTCCCAGTTGTCTTTCATCCAAGGATGACTCTGATCTGAGCAAACTGGTACACTGTTCATCACAAAACTACCCATTCAGACTATGGGTAACTGAAACACCTTAGGCAACGAGAACCGTAGCAGTATACAGTTTCAGGAGTGGTGCCCATTCACTGAGAGGCCACCCCGTGCCACTGTAGGCCGGGTGGCATAGATGTATTCTCTCCGAATCTTGCACAGTCCTTTGAGTTACACACTCGTCTTAGCCCCCACGTTACGGCTACAGAGGCTGAAGCTGAACAAATCTACATGGTTTGCTCTCGGCCACTGGTTAGTCCCCGTGTGGCTGTGAAGGAATGCCTGAGCCTGGGCAATTCATAAAAAAAGGAGTTTATTCAGCCCGTGGTTCTGCAGGCTGTACAGGAAGCCTGACACTGGCACCTGCTTGGCTTCTGGCGAGAGCTTTCATGCTGCATCAAAACATGGTTGAGAAGGTCGAATGGGCAGTGGGAAGGTGCCGAGAAGGACCAAATCCGAGGGGTGTCTGGGCTTTACCACAACCCACTCCTGGGAACTAATCCCTCCTCCTGAGAACCAACCCAGCACTGAGAGAGCAAGAACTCACTCTCCTGGTAGATCAACGACACGAAGCCGTTCACGAGGGATCCACCCCCATAACCCAAACACCTCCCACCAGGCCCATCCCCTGACACTGGGGTCCCATTGCAGCAAGAGATTTAGTGGGAATGAACACATCTTAGCCAAGCACGGCAGTCACTCAGCTAATGCCAAAGTTAAACCTGTATCTGAGTCCAGTAGCAGCTCCATGTGGATGTCATTTACAAACCGTTTAACTTCTCTGAGTTTCCAGGTTCCAGGTGCAGCTGCACAATGGGATTGAACGTTCTCCACAGCTCTGCAGTTCTCACTGAAACGACACTCTCATGTAGACCTGGAGTGGGAAACAGAAAGAATGGTGGCCTGAGCCTCATGAGGAAGAATCCCTCCGATATCGCTCAGGGCTACAGCAGAGCTGTGGACGAGGCCCAGAACGTGCTCCTGATTGAGACAGTACAAAAGATCAATTAACAGGGCAGGAGGAGCTGTGAGAAGATTCCAGGGAAGACAGAGAATGAAAGAATCACGTGGAGGTCACACTCCCCACTGTCACCAACTCTGCTCTGCATGCACATCCCCTCAGAGACTATTCATCCCTGAACGGAAAAAGCAAAATAACAGAAACTCTAAGCATTTCCAGGCCTTTCATATGGGTCTGAAAGATTCATATAGGGAGCCACATAATCACCATTGAAATCCACCCCAGCTTCCATTCCTGGAAAAGCAGACTTCCCTCTCTAGGATACACAACAAGGAGAAAAGGTACTGGACAAGGCAGAGAAATTTCAAAATAAAAACCCACAAACAAAAACCCAAGCAGATGACTCTGCACACATCCCTCCTCTGCAGTGAAGTGGTCTGCCGCATGCACCTGGGGGCTCTTCCAAGTCTCCAATCCGTGATTTCAGTAAATTCAAAACCGTGGCACCCGCAGACCTTGGAACCGTGATCTGGAATCAAGAGGGAGTGCATAAAACGTGCACAGCAACAGTCTCTAGTTACAGACTGTGGAATGGGGCCATCTGAAATCTTCAGAAAACTAAGTCAGTGAATTAGAACAATGAAAAAATAAACTAAGATCTAAATTCTGAGGTGAAATCCAACAGAAAGCAAATCTCAAAGCTCCAAATTAGGAATTCCAAAAGTAAAAAGAACATACAAAATTCAAAACCTTGGCCAGGCACAGTAGCTCACAGATGTAATCCCAGCACTGTGGTGGTCGGGGTGGTCAGATCACTTGAGGCCAGGAGTTCAAGACCAGCCTGGGCAACATGGTGAAACCCTGTCTCTACTAAAAATACAAAAATTAGTTCAGTGTAGTGGTGCACACCTGTAGTCCCAGCTATTTGGGAGTCTGTAGCATGAGAATCGCTTGAGCCTGGGAGGTAGAGGCTGCAGTGAGCTAAGATTGCACCACTGCCCTCCAGCCTGGGCAACAGAGTGAGACTCTGACTCAAAAAAAAAAAAAGTTAAACATACCTTGGAACTAAAGAGAAATCCACAGCTTAAGATCAGGAAAAGTTGTTAAATTTTATACAAAACTATTAAAAATTATATATAGATACATACACATATATATGTAACTTCAGATTTTAAAAAATTATATAGGAAAATAACATATTACCTAGAAATGAAAAAAATCAGATTAGTATTAAATACAGCGTAGTACTTGAAAACATTTTAAACGTTCAAAGAATGTTATCTAAAGTAGCCAAACTCAAGGCTGACACAAAGACTTTACTAGAAAAGAAAAATAAATATAGGAATTGCGTACCTTTCTTGAAAAAGCATTTTCAAACAATCAGCACAGAACAGGGTTCAACACTGCAAGAATGGAATGGAGAAGGTTAAAATAAATGAGAATAAACACTCTAACAATAAATCACAAAAATGTAACCTAATTCTGAGGTGAAATCCAACAGACTTTACTAGAAAAGACTAATAAGGCTAATCGTAGTAATACGATCACTAATAATATACTGATCAGTAACAATATGAATACTCGGGATGTGAAATCATTGCATTTCTGACTGAGCATTTACTAAAAAGAAAACTGTGGTGAATGTCTCATCTTACTTGAGAAATGGGCACAAAGTCATTCTTAATGTAGATGCACACTTAAAAAATGAAAGATAATCTCTCTAAGATAAATAGAATAAAGAGTATTACGGCCGGGCGCGGTGGCTCATGCCTGTAATCCCAGCACTTTGGGAGGCCGAGGCAGGTGGATCACGAGGTCAAGAGATCGAGACCATCCTGGTCAACATGGTGAAACCCCGTCTCTACTAAAAATACAAAAAATTAGCTGGGCACGGTGGTGCGTGCCTGTAATCCCAGCTACTCAGGAGGCTGAGGCAGGAGAATTGCCTGAACCCAGGAGGCGGAGGTTGCGGTGAGCCGAGATCACACCATTGCACTCCAGCCTGGGTAACAAGAGCGAAACTTCGTCTCAAAAAAAAAAAAAAAAAAAAAAGAGTATTACAACACGATAAAAGGCACAATTCACAAAGAAGATCTGTATTATCAGCTAGGTTACAGTGTCTACCTCAAGGCCACAAAACTGGAAAGAGCTTTTGAATAAGCAAACAAAAAGAAAATTTGCCAACAACAAAAAAAATCTAAAAACTCTTAAAGAAAGAAAGCAAAATGTGAAGCCAAAAGAGGCAGTCCTTCGAGATGGCTCCCGAGTGGCTCACTGGGCCTAAACTCAAAAGACAGTCCAGGTCCATCTGCTCACAAGGTCACACGGGAGGTCACACGGGAGGTCACACGGGTCCTCTGTGTAGCTGCCTCACTCAGGGGCTTCTACAACTGTCTCCGTTCACATGGCCTGAACCAGCCAGTCTACTGTGACCTGTATTGACCAATCAGAACTCAGCAAATGTCACCCCTCATTTGCATAAGGAGGTGGGAACCTGGGCAGAAACTTCCTCTATAAAAGACAAACCCTCCTTGTTCACTGTGACACACTTTGTTTTATGCCAAAGACTATGTCGCCTCAGTTTGCAAACTGTTTACTGGAATAAAGCCACTTTCGATTTTCTTAAAATCTTTTTCAGTGGATTTATTGGCAAAACTACCACTAAAGACTCCTTAGAAATTAACAATGAGGAAACTACACAGGGAATTATGGAATGCAACAGAATCTGTAGTAATAAGAAATGTATAGCCTTAAATACGTATTCTTCAAAATGAAAATAAAAACGCAATGCAAAACAATATAACATGTTTTCATCCTAACGTGAGCCAAAATTATTTTGAGAATGATTAAGTGGGGAAGAGTGTAAGGAAAACAGTATATCAGACTAGTGGAAACAGCGATCACAAAACCGTGAAAGCTGAGCTGTTCTGAAAGCTGAAGTGACCCATGAGCCTACAGGTGTGCATGGCAGCAGGAACCTTCTTCCAATGACTCTCCATTGTGTGCTTAAATACTCCTTTTGGTACATAACTCTTAGGTAAGTGAAAGAAGAATCTTAATGATGAACTCTCAAGATCGAAACCAATAAGTTTCCAATTACTTTTCAGAAGAGAGTGAAAAATCTGTTGAGTAAGACCTTTCAAAAGAGAAATATGTCAATAAGTACCCAAGTCTTTAAGTTGTAAGTCTCTTTTTGAACAAGCAATTCTACATTTAGGAATTTACCCTAAAAATTATTTATGAAAGGAAAAATCAGGCATGTGCAGTTGAGCTTCATGCCTCCCCAGAGGAGTCATGTTAAAAAAAAAGATGGTGCTGTTAACATGATTCGAGGGTGGGGTTTTCTGCTTTCTGAGTTCAAAAGGTGCAGCAGAGAACATGAAGACCCTTAGTCTGCATCCGCTATACCAAGCAGAACCACTCTCTGGGCCCCTGGCCAGGAAGGGAAGCTGCTCAATTGTTGTATGAAAGTGCAAAGAGTGTAAAAAATATCGTTCCCTGAAAGTGTAAAAAGATTAACCTCCAACTTTTTTTAAAAAATCACAGCATTGTTTATAGTAGACAAATATTGGAAATATACTAAATAAAAGCTGTAAGAGGGTGAGTATTGAAAAATAAAAATAAAATTGTCAGACACCCGACTCACTGAACAGGACCCCTCTTTGCCAAGAGGACCCCAGAGTAATCTTGGAAACTGAGTTTCAGGCCATGAGGGGATGGGAAGTCAAATGGGTGTGGTTCAGCTCCCTCACTTGCTAATCATAATTAGGTTTACTCCCTAAGGATGAACAGAAACCAGCCCTTTCACAAGAATCCACCGCTGACCCAGCTCCTGCCAGACGCTGCCCCACGCTTTTGCAATTTCAGTACAATTGAGCAGCTTTCCTTCCCGATCAGAGTCCACTGGCCAGGGGCAGAGTAAGACGCAGAGTAAGGGTCTTCATGCCTTCTGCTGCACCTTTTGAACTCAGAAAGCAGAAAACTCCACCCTTGAATCATGCTAACAGCACCTTTTTTTTTTTTAAATGAGTCCTCTGGGGAGGCATGAAACTCAACTTCACATGCCTGATTTTTCTTTCATAAATATTCATGATTCCTCCTATAGCTTACTGAATATTTATACTTAGCCACACCACTCAGCAAAAATTCCCATCCCCTTTGCCCCTTCCTCCTAGAGTCTGTTTCCAGCTTCTGACTGGAGGCCACACTTCCCAGCCAGTCAGAATGGCTGGTCTGCAGGCTGCAGCCCTGTGGGATAAATGAAGCTCTCCTTTCCGAATTTATGAACCTCATTGCACTTCAGCTGACAGGCTAATCTGGCACCTCAATGCGAAGGCACACTATTTCATCACAGAGAAGAATACAGGAGAAAAAGAGACTAGTCTTCATGTTGAATGTATACAACGGTTTACATGTAGACAAGTGAGAAAGGCAGGTTATGAACTATGGGTACGGGATGAACCACTTCAGTCATCGAATGCACACCAACACATACCCCACAGAATAACCACCACGAACTGACCTCCTCAAAACACCTGTCTCTACAGAGGGAGTATTTTAGTTTCGTTGTGGGCTCCATGTTACACTGCATGTTAGTAATTTGCAGTCCTACTGATAAATATTATTAAACACAAATAGAACAACTCAAGCTAATCTGATGACTAGTAATGAACCAAGTCAGCAATTACTGCTCGTTCTTTCCTAGCTCACTTTGCATGAGCCCCTTAGAAAATGCCAAGGAGAGAAAACACAAGTGGCATAGAATGTGCGTGTAAATTGCTCCTTTTGTGAATGAGTGAATCTCAGAGGAGGCAGGTGACCTGACCAGGCTCACGCAGTGTTACAGCAGAACCTGGGCAGTCTCCACTTCCCGATTGAGCTCAGTACTTGGAAACGACCCTGCCGCAGGGCACAGGTGTTTTCTTCTGCATAAATGCCAAGTAGGAGAGAAGAACTTGGAAACACTAAACTGGTAACCCTTCTGGTCCACTCGCCTATCAGTGATACATAAAGTAACGGGAGGATGTTCTTAAAGTATCTTTAACATTGATACGAATTCTAAACACAGAGATACAGCGGGACCCGAGGCAGCCTTTGTTGTTTCTGATAAGCACGAGTGCTGTGTGTTGTCAGAATGTAGAGCTGCACCTCACAGAGGAGCAGTCTGCCAAGGCAATGAGTTCAGTTTTGCTTTTAAGTCTGACTTGGCTGAAGACGGCAATTTACCCTCCAGGTTGGGTTCAGCGTTTAAAATACTTGGCACATGAAGGCAGTGCCTCAGCCCTCCCGGAAGCCACAGTGCACCCCCAGCCGCAGCAGGACTGCCTTCGCTGCTTCCTGCACATTTCCCATTTGCTGAGTTTTGAAAGTCATTCTGAAAAGAGAAGCCTTGGAAGAGAAAAAGAAAGCACATCTCATGGTACGGTCTTTGTGGGCAGCTCTCAGCTGGATGCGTCTCCATGGTGACCAAGGTCTGCTCCTGGATGTGGAAGAGGCAGTCACCACCCTCTAGGTTAGAGGAGACACAAGTTGACAAATGTTAACAGGAAGGACAAAGACTTTATAAAACTTTGTGTGGGTGCTCTCGTTCACTCTAAAGTCTCAGCCAGGGTCTGCTCATGCCTCGCAGAACACAACGTGACTTAACCCAGCAAACATCAGTTGTTCAGGTAACACATCACAGGCCGTCCTCAGGTGGCCAGCAAGGTTCTCAGAAGATCAAGGCCATGGCGGTGTCTCACCAAGAGCTGTCAGCAGTGGGGAGATCAAAGGCCTCCATTCATTCAATATTTATTCAGCAAATATACAGAATCAAGAAGCAAGCTGAGAGCTGAGTTCAGTAAGCCAGGGAGTTGTCCAAACAGGTAGCCAGAATCAAAGGGTAGGTGAGAAGCGGGTATAAGAACGCAGTGCCAACTGCCAAGGGAGGGAAGGAGGACCCGCGAGGTCCTGTTGCCCAGGCCGGAATCCCAGGCTCTCCCGCAGGTGTGGAGCAAGCCTGGAAAGACTGAGGGGAGGCTGGGCCAGAGACACCTCCCGACGGGGCACTCCTACCCAAGTGCTCTTTCAAGAGTAAGGTGACCAGAACTGCATGCCAGCCTTGGAGAAGGAGTGGCAAGGGTGATTTTGGGGAAATCAAAGCCTCAATCCCACTCCAGGAAAGACACAGCTGCGCGGAAAACACCCCAAATGCGTGTCTGCACAAAGGCAGAGAAGCGTCAGAGGAGGAAGACTTGAGGCCCTTCACCCAACGAGCACAGCTTCTGGAGCTTCTGGTCCGCTGGAAGCCATCCACACCGGCTGGATGCAACTGTCGTCTTCCTTTTCTTCAAGCCTCTAACAGGCATATTGCCCGGTCCTGCACTGACTCCCTCTGTACGAGAGCTCTTAGCTTCAGCTGTGTGGAGGGCCTCCCTGGCTCACAGGAAGTCCTTTCCTGCTTTCCTGTCCCCCTCTCGCCTTCTCTTCCCACCTGTCCGCTTGTACTATATGCTTCATGTATTTCAACTTACCAGTTCTGCAGAAACACTTCCGCTTTGAATATGCTGCTTCCCTTGCCTTAAACATAAGCCCCAGTCCCCGTCCCTACTCCACCTCGAGGTGCACACGAGCCATCCCCTGCTCTGGTCAGCACCTGTCTCACAGCGGCCTCTTCCTGAGATGGAGTGGAACCCCGCACAGGCCATGTCCCAGTGTGTACCACTTCCTCCTGCTTCCGCGTCCGTCTTCCTGGCTGGCTGGGACTGCTCTGAGGACAGTGACTGTGCTGTTTCTCTTCGTGTCCTCAAGGCTTGTGCTGCACAGCCTGGCATGCAGTGCCAACTCATCATCTGTGGTCCCCATCCCATCACAGCTGCCACGGAGCTATATACCAAGCTAACTGCCATGGGCCTGGCTTCTCTCATCCCCTGCCCAGGGACAGCTGAGGCACGCAGTCAAACTCTCCGAGGAAGGCCTCATGCCCTGGGCATTCCCCTGTGCAGTCATCATGCTGCAGACACTCCATGAGCAAGACCCCTGCATTCTAGGGGGGGCACAGTTGTCCCCTGCCAGCTGACTGCTGAGTGACTTAACCATAAAATCAGTGCCTGTACCTTGTAGGTGCTCGGAGAGCGTTTGTTGTGTGAACAATGAGGGTGCGTGTGAGCTCCCAGACTTTCCCAACTGGCAGTCACAGCGAACCTCACTTCAGGTTCCTCCCGGCCGCTGCTGGCTCTGCACTGTGCCACCAAGTCCAATAGCATGGGACAAGTCACTTCATGTTTCTGTGTTTCCGTTTTCTCATCTAAAATTGGGATCATAATCTATGCACATTTCCTTGCGGTTTTGTATGAA